GGAGAGGGAGAGAGGGAGAGAGAGAGAGAGAGATGGTTGTAGGAGGAAGCCAAAAAAAGATACTCCCTACGATGCGACACTTACTTTGGATCGGAGGGAGTACTATAATTTAGTTTTCCCGGATTTCTGTCTGGGCAAGTGTTTGGTTCACATGTTGGGCCTTCTATCATCTTGGGAGCTTTTTTTATCTGACCGGTGGCAAATTGGCATACTTAGCTGCTACATAGGCCTAAAATTATGTGAATTCTGTTGCGAGCGGGTTAGTTGCGATGATTTTCATAACCAGGAGTTTTAAAGTACACCGCATGAAGATGAAATTTTCCAACACATAAATCTAGTGTAAAATGATTTTCAACAAGCAACGTAATAAGGTACTCAACAAAATGATTACGGAAAGCATAAGACCTGATTCTGTTTCCCCGTTTTAGGTTATTCATACAAAAAGGAAGACACATTTTATATAATGTTGCATTATCGGAACTAGAAGAGAGCATATAAAGCACTGTAGGAAGAGATCGAATCTTACTGTTCCCAGCACATCACTGACATCAACTGATGCAAATTCACATGAAAGCGCAGGAAAGCTGCAAAATGCAAAAGCCACATAGTGAACAATCAAGGGAATAATAAGGCTGTGCTGCCTATCATTATTAACATAGTCATCCCATCAAAAACAAAAAATATCAATCTGAAATCCAAACAGACGGCTAGGCTAGTGTATACCACTTACTATGAAATATGGTGTGCAAACGAACAAATGAAAATCTGGCTAGTGCTTGAATTTTTCCCAAAAACATGGAGCACCAGTTCCAATAATAGATCTCAGATGCATATGTAGACTAGGAGGAAAAAAGATAATAATGGATGCCATAAACCTATTATGCTATGAACAAAATTAAAATGGTTGGATTTGGAAAACTAGTTGACGGCAAGACTATTAACCTAAGTACACATCAGATGCTTCTTGACAGGATTCAGAGAAGAGTAAAAACATCAAGAAACACGCAGTGACATGTCTTGTGCTGCATATATAAACTGCGCACTGGTAACAGGTAAATAACAATAGCAAGTCATTAGTTTTAGAAGAGCAGACATGCATTAGGTGGAAGACAAATTCCATGAAGTGTCCGCAAAACAAAGGGCAACAGAAAGAAGAATTATTGATGAAACACAAAGGTTCAGGTTTAAACTATGTATTCAATAATGCTCGCGAAATGCTACCAAATTCACCTCAAGTTAAAATCTATCCGTAAGAACTCCCCATCTGAACTCCTGTCAACAATTACAGATGTGGTGGTATTGACTGCTAAGTAACTACTCAGCTCCTGCAACAACAATTTAACAGCTTTAGATGAAAGTAACCTCATCATATATTGCAATATAAATTTAAAGATCAAGAATACAAGATCATGTAAACATTATTCAAAATTGCTAGCAAGTGCAGAAATTGCAATGATTAACCAATGAGGACCCAAGGGATGCATTGGTTCCAGAGTAACTAGTACACCATGTGATGTCATCACACTGCCTAGCTTCAAGTTCCCATGATCATAGTTGCTCATAATCTATGGCACCATGTTGATGCTCTGATGATAAATAAATAAAAGTTCATTTGAAAGGGTTATTTTGGACTACATAACTTGAAATGGTGTAGCAATTAAGTACTACAGCAAACCGAATAGTAGCAGACCAATTAATCACTTAAACAAAGGTGTTGAGTATCGTGATTATTAGGAAACAGCGCGCCGCCCCGTGGTTTTCCCCGTGGCTGCACCAACCCGCGCCGCCACTGCGTCGCCCTTTCGGGCCATAGTGCCGTGGCACGCTGTCCACGTCGCCGCCCCAAGGCTGTTCCCACGGTTGCATCAACCCGCGCGCTGCCGCTGCGTCGCCCCTTCGGGCCATAGTACCGCGGCCCGCGGTCCACCACTGCCCTGAGGCCGTCCGCTCCAGGCCGTCCCCGTGGCTACACCGACCCTCACGTTGCCGCTGCGTAGCCCATCACCCTGAGGTCTTCCCTGCCCGCCGTCGCCCCGACCCGCACACTGCCGCTGCGTCGCCCCTTCGGGTCATAGCGCTGCGGCATGCGGTCCACTTTGCTGTCCACGCGCGTCAACTTCTGTGTGGTATGCGCCGCGCCACCTTCCTAGGCGCGCGGACGGTCTTCGTCACGTTGTCAGGTTCTTCCTCGCCTACTTCGAGCACCGTCGCCACGCTCCTAACCTAGCCGCCGCTGCCGCTCTTCTTCCCGGGCCACGGCGACTACCTCGACACCGGCCACCCCGACTCAACATCGACCATGGCGTCCCTTGCACGGCTACCTCGACCACGGCTACACCACCCTACACTCTTGGCTACCTCGACATTGGCAGAAAGGGCTACCGCCTTGCTTGAGCAACCTCGTAAGTTTCCACTCCAGCCACGACTTCCGTGATACAAGAAGTACAGTATAGTTGATAACAGAACAGAAACTGGAAACAAACCATTCCAAACAAAAACACCATTGCCAGTGCTGCAAATATGGATAATCCAGCACCAGATAGTGATGCCTCCGTCAAATCCCTAGGAATTTTCCTGCAGACAGCCAAAACAAAAAAATATATCTCAATACGTTACCACTTCAGTAGAAACTCAAAAACAGCACCTGCACAATGCCAGCAAAAAGGTCCCCCACCGACCACCATTACAGCATACTGTCAATTTTGCATTTTCGGTATTACCACGTTCGAACATATATCATCTACGGTGCAGTTCTCCAGAAACAGACGTAAATCATTACTGGCGAGTACCCAAGCTCGAACTAAATACATCAATTCGTAGCCAATCCCCCGAATACAGACAGTAATCCGACTGAACCAAACCCCACATTCACCGAATCCCGCCGCTAATCTGGAGATCGGAAGGGAAGCGAATGATACCTGTAGAAGTCGACGGACTTCAGCTTGCTCGAGGAGATCATGGCTGCCGATGATGACGACGTGGCAGCGCGCCGGGTGGTCGGATCTGCCGGGTGCGGAGAGATCTGGAGCGAGGGGAAGGAGAGAGGTGAGATTTATGTGGGGAGGTCTCTTCTTTTCGTCGTCTCGACTAGAAAGGTGTGCCCCCGGATCTCACCGCCTCCTACCTCCCGGAGTCCAGAGTACCGCTGCCTTGCCTGCGATGTTAATTGCGTCCAGCCACGGATACGTATCCATCTATTTCTATTGCTTTCCTTTTATGTATTTCTGGAAAATGCTGTGTCAAGTTAGAAAATTATTAATTTGGTCCTATCCTGATCTCAAAAAATAAATGCCCCTGTATCCCTTTTTCTTTAGTTGGAAAAAATGCCCCTGTATCCTTTAGAAAGTTAATTGGGTCCTTAGTATTTAAGGCACCGAGTAGATGTAATATTAACCATAGTTTAGATATCTCGCAAAAAAAAACATAGTTTATGTAGTTTATATTGTGGTTTATTTTCGAACGTAGTACAATGATCATACATACGCATATACACTCACTCGTATGAATGCAAGTACGCACACACATCCTACCCGAGCATATCCGAGAAACTGAGCTGGCACGTCATTTTGAGATTGATGTCACATACGCCTTCGTAGTCGACGAGAACGTTTCCTTCCACTGAACGCACGTCGCCGAAAGTCCTAGAATAAATCCAGAAGAATGTGAGCACCAACGTCGAGGCTATGACTTAAACTCTGTTAGGTTGCGGATGTCACTGTCCTCCTAATCATCCAATCATAAGTTGGTTCACAGTTTATATTGCAGTATTTGTTCCCCTATAAAATTCAAAAATACTCCTATACAACAATCTATGCATAAAAAATTAAGTTTATAATGTAAATATTCAAATAAATACGTAGTCAAAGTTTTGTATGTTTAACGTAAGACAAGTGTTGGTGCAATTAAGTGTCCTAAAAGTTTTGAAGATTGTTGGACAGGAACAATGAAGGACTAATGTGTTTGGTAGCGCACACCCGTAGATTAGGTCCCTGGAGTTCTTAGGAGTTTCATATAAACTCGAAAGATTATTTTTTGTGCGACTGAGAAGAATTCTAAGCCAATTGAGAAGATTGCTATCGAAGATATTGCGTGACGAAAGTGACCTCTAAAAACTGCTGATGTAAAGCAATTGATATAGAGTTCGGTCCAAGACAATTGACTGCAGTGGAGAAGAAAGAGGATGAAGAAAGATGTAGCATTTTCTTTTGTAGTTATTTTTCTCTTATTTGAGTCCCATGATCACCGTACTACTAAGAGGTGTCGTAGTGTTTCGAAACTTATGTTTCTTTGATGCTTAACCAAAACATATCCTAAGTGAGATGTGAGAAAAATCTTTTTGTGTTCCAAGACATTTACTTGTCAGCCAGAGGCGATGATCTTCTGGGCTACGAGAGAAATGCTCTAACCGAGGAGTCGGCTTTACTTGTTCCTCAAGTAAAGTTGTCGGATGCATTTGAAATCAGACCGTTAGATACGTGTCCGTTGACCATTGGCTAGACGTCGTGTCCTAAATGGCCATTTCCCCCTCAGGATTGCTCCGACTATAAATAGACACCTCGCAGCTTCCGAGAAGGTTGGTTGCTCCGCGTGATTTTGACGAGTTGTCATAGCACCCTCTATCCAAATATTAGAGTTAATCCACCGAGAGAAAACCCTACAGACAAAAAACTAGATAGTGGTTTAGCAACTCTCAAGAGTTATACATGGATCCCATCTCAGATTTCATGACCTCAAGCCATTTCGCGGAATATGGGCTCATCATCGCTTCCTCATAGTTCGTAGGTTCGTCATGGTCTAGTAACATGACTTCCAGAAAGAATTACCATACCACCGTACTACTCTAGTGCGAACTATACTCTGGTTGACCTACGAGGTTCGGTAGTAACTTGATCTAAAGTTTCATAATCATCATCATTAGCTTCCTCACTAATTGGTGTAGGAATCACTGGAACTGATTTCTGTGATGAACCACTTTCCAATTCGGGAGAAGGTACAACTACCTCATCAAGTTCTACTTTCCTCCCACTCACTTCTTTCGAGAGAAACTCCTTCTCTAGAAAGGATCCATTCTTAGCAACAAAGATCTTGCCTATGGATCTGTGATAGAAGGTGTACCTAACAATTTTTTTTGGGTATCCTATGAAGACACACTTCTTCGATTTGGGTTCGAGCTTATCAGGCTGAAACCTTTTCACATAAGCATTGCGACCTCAAACTTTAAGAAATGATAGCTTAGATTTCTTGCCAAACCATAGTTCATACGGTGTCGTCTCAACGGATTTAGATGGTGCCTTATTTAACCTGAATGCAGCTGTCTCTAATGCATAATCCCAAAACGATAGTGGTAAATCAGTAAGAGACATCATAGATCGCACAATATCTAATAAAGTACGGTTACAACGTTCGGACACACCTTTACGCTGTGGTGTTCCAGGTGGCGTGAGTTGTGAAACTATTCCACATTGTTTCAAATGAAGACCAAACTCATAACTCAAATATTCACCTCCACGATCAGATCATAAAAACTTTATTTTCTTGTTACGATGATTTTCCACTTCACTATGAAATTCTTTAAACTTTTCAAATGTTTCAGACTTATGTTTCATTAAATAGATATATCCATATCTGCTTAAATCATCTGTGAAGGTTAGAAAATAACGATACCCTGTCGCGAGCCTTAACACTCATCGGACTGTATACATCGGTATGTATTATTTCCAATAAGTCAGTGGCTCGCTCCATTGTTCCGGAGAATGGAGTCTTAGTCATCTTGCCCATGAGGCATGGTTCGCAAGTATCAAGTGATTCCAAAAGCCTATTAGCATGGAGTTTCTTCATGCTTTTACACCAATATGACATAAACGGCAGTGCCACAAATAAGTTGCATCATTATTAACTTTGCATTTTTTGGCTTCAATATTATGTATATGTGTATCACTACGATCGAGATACAATAAACCATTTATGTTAAGTGTATGGCCATAGAAGGTTTTATTCATGTAAACAGAACAACAATTATTCTTTGACTTAAATGAATAACTGTATTGCAATAAACACGATCCAATCATATTCATGCTCAACGCAAACACCAAATAACATTTGTTTTAGGTTCAACACTAATCCCGAAGGTAAAAGGAGTGTACGATGGTGATCTTATCATCCTTGGAATCACTTCCAACACACATCGTCACCTCGCCCTCAACTAGTCTCTGTTCATTTTGTAACTCCTGTTTCAAGTTACTAATCATAGCAACTGAACCAGTATCAAATACCCACGGGCTACTATGAACACTAGAAAAGTACACATCAATAACATGTATATTGTATATACTTTTGTTCACTTTGCCATCATTCTTATCCGCCAAGTATTTAGGGCAGTTCCGCTTCAAGTGACTATTTCCTTTGCAATAGAAGCACTCAGTTTCAGGCTGAAGGAAATATGCCCTAGAGGCAATAATAAAGTTATTATTTATTTACTTATAATCATGATAAATGTTTATTATTCATGCTAGAATTGTATTAACTGGAAACATAATACATGTGTGAATAAATAGACAAACAAAGTGTCACTAGTATGCCTCTACTTGACTAGCTCGTTAATCAAAGATGGTTATGTTTCCTAACCATGAACAATGAGTTGCTATTTGATTAACGAGGTCACATCATTAGTTGAATGATCTGATTGACATGACCCATTCCATTAGCTTAGCACCCGATCATTTAGTATGTTGCTATTGCTTTCTTCATGACTTATACATGTTCCTATAACTATGAGATTATGCAACTCCCGTTTACCGGAGGAACACTTTGGGTACTACCAAACGTCACAACGTAACTGGGTGATTATAAAGGAGTACTACAGGTGTCTCCAATGGTACATGTTGGGTTGGCGTATTTCGAGATTAGGTTTTGTCACTCCGATTGTCGGAGAGGTATCTCTGGGCCCTCTCGATAATGCACATCACATAAGCCTTGCAAGCATTACAACTAATATGGTAGTTGTGAGATGATGTATTACGGAACGAGTAAAGAGACTTGCCGGTAACGAGATTGAACTAGGTATTGGATACCGACGATCGAATCTCGGGCAAGTAACATACCAATGACAAAGGGAACAACGTATGTTGTTATGTGGTCTGACCGATAAAGATCTTCGTAGAATATGTAGGAGCCAATATGGGCATCCAGGTCCCGCTATTGGTTATTGACCGGAGACGTGTCTCGGTCATGTCTACATTGTTCTCGAACCGTAGGGTCCGCACGCTTAACGTTACGATGACAGTTATTATGAGTTTATGCATTTTGATGTACCGAAGGTTGTTCGGAGTCCCGGATGTGATCACGGACATGACGAGGAGTCTCGAAATGGTCGAGGCATAAAGATTGATATATTGGAAGCCTATGTTTGGACATCGGAAGTGTTCCGGGTGAAATCAGGATTTTACCGGATTACCGGGAGGTTACCGGAACCCCCCGGGAGTCATATGGGCCTTATTGGGCCTTAGTGGAAAGGTGAAAGGGCTGCCCATAAGGGCTGCGCGCCTCCCCCCTCCCCTAGTCCTATTATGACTAGGAGAGGTGGCCGGCCACCCCTCTCCCTCTTCCCCCCTTGGGAATCCTAGTTGGAATAGGATTGGGGGGGGGGGGAGCCTACTCCCGGTAGGAGTAGGACTCCTCCTGCGCCCTCCTCCTGGCCGGCGCACCTCTCCCCCTTGGCTCCTTTATATACGGAGGCAGGGGGCACCTCTAGACACACAAGTTGATCATTGAGATCGTTCCTTAGCCGTGTGCGGTGCCCCCTGCCACCATATTCCACCTCGATCATATCATTGTAGTGCATAGGCGAAGCCCTGCGTCGGTAATACATCAAGATCGTCACCACACCGTCGTGCTGACAGAACTCCTCCCCGAAGCTTTGCTGGATCGGAGCCCGGGGATCGTCATTGAGCTGTACGTGTG